GCTCCCTCCAGAGTGCTGCTCCCGAATCCTGAAGACTACAACTGCCGACTGCCTACCTCGGAAGTGCCTGGGAAGTCCTATGTACTACCTCGGCCTGCCTCCTGACTACTGGAGGCCAGTCAGGCCGAGGAGGCAGCTCTTGCCAATGCCGAAGTGTGCCAGGGGCTGGCGTGCAGCAGCCTGCTTGAGGCTGGCGTGGGAAACAGACTATTAATAGTCTGTTCCCGAAACCCTGGTTCGGTGCCTGAGTTTCAGGGCCGGTCGTTCTGATGAATGACCGAAAATGGCCCTTCGTTTCAGGCTAAAAATGCTTAAAAATGCTGTTGCCATTTTTAGTCTGAAATGACACAGGGACAGGCCCTGGAATTCAGGCTTTCGGCGCGTACCGACAGGGGGCCTGTAAGCCCTGGATTTCAGGCTTTCGGCCTGAAATTCAGGCTTTCGGCCTGAAGTTCAGGCTTTTAGCCTGAACGGATGCAGGCCTGCAAAATGGCCTGCGTGTGCACGCGCAGCATGTAACACCCCCCCCTCCTTATGAAGTCAAGCCGGGGCGAGGGCGAAGCCGTCGATCTGAAGGTGGAACCTGGACGCGGCCGCGGCGGGGAGCCGAAGAGACCGGCCGGCTTGCCTTGCATCTTGCGTTCGTAGCGTGCGAGATCGTCTGGAGCTGTTGCTTGAAGTTCCGCACGGGTTAACCAACGGTCAGCTCGGTGTGTGCAGTATGCAAAATGCACTAAATACTCAGGTGGGTCTTGCGTACGTCTCCCGGGAAAATCGTCATGATCCGCTCGCGTATAGAGAGCCAGTTTGGAGCAATGAAAGACTGGGTAGACAGGCAAGTGGCTAGGCACCTGAATCGTGAAGGAGGGTCCTTCGGGTGCGTCCCCAGCGGGCTCTATGATCGGCCAAGGCCCCATCCATTTCGGAAGGAGCTTGCAAGAGACGTCTTGTTCAAGGCTGAATTCCGCGGCGGAAACCCAGACGAGGTCCCCGGCGCGGAATGGACAAGGAAGACGCTGGCGATTTGCCTGTTGGCGCATGCGCTGTTGCGTCTTAGCCATCTGGTCGCGTGCCTTGACAAGAAGCTCTTGCATCCGACGCAAGAAAAGAAGATGGTCGTCGCTCTCGGCCGTGCGTGGAGTAATAGTGTCCAACGGTGATGTGACCGGCGAGCCATGCTCGAACTCGAAGGGCGATATCCTAATAGCAGGGTGGATGGAAGAGTTGTAGGCCAACTCGACGTCCGGCAGTCGCTCAACCCAGTCTTTCTGGTCGGGGCGGATGAGAGTACGAAGGAGAACCTGTGCGGTCTGATGCGCCCTCTCCGTCTGGCCATCGGTCTGAGGGTGGCGAGCTGAATTGGGCTTGAGAGATGAGCCCCATCGCGTGATGAGCGCCAACCAAAAATCAGACATGAACCGAGTGTCGCGGTCGCAGACGATCTCCTTGGGGTAACCCTTGGTGCGAATCCAACCAGCGTAAAGAACCTCGGCCAACTCCGGTGCCTTGGCATGATAGCGACAAGGCAAAAACATGGCGAACATGGTGAGTCGGTCGACCACCGTGAGAATCCCATCCACTCCGGTCTTGTGCTTGGGGAACGGGCCGGTAATGTCCATGGCAATCGCTTCCCTTCGCCGCAACGGGACTGGCAATGGTCGTAACTCACCGTACGGATGATGTTTGCGGGATTTGCAGCGTCGGCAAACCTCGCATGACTCGCAATAGCGCGTGACGTCGCCGAGAAGGCCGGGCCACCAAAATCGTTGGCGAAGTCGGCCAATCGTGCGATTGACTCCAAARTGTCCRGTGGCGGGAGCRTCGTGGAACTCGCCAAGARGCCGTGTACRCAAGTGAGGRTCACTYGGTACGCAAAGAAGGTCCTTCCCCCGCDTGTGGACAAGCAAGTACCCCTCTTGGATCCGGTAGTGAGAAGGAGCCGGATTAGGAGAGGAGCAATTCGCGTACTTGTCGCGAAACTCGGGGTCGGCTTGGTAGCCGCGGATGAAGTTGTTCCGCAGGTCGTCGTCAATCTCAAAGGTCGAGTAGACTGCGGTACAATGATCCGGGCGCCGTGAGAGAGCATCCGCAAAACGGTTCGACTTCCCGGGAATGTGATCGGTAAAGAAGTCGAATCGGTCGATGAAAGCCATCCATCGAGCGATGGTGCTATTGACGGTGTCTTGGGTCTTGTAGAAGACCAACGGATTGTTGTCCGTTACCCATCGAAATTGGCTTCGACCAAGGAGGAAGTGCCGACATCGCTTGAGCGCGTGGACGAAGGCGAGGAGCTCCTTCTTGCGTGCATCGTCAATGGAATGCACAAGAGGCACTTTCTTGCTGAAGTATTCGACCGGGTGCCAGTCCACACCATCATGTTGCTCGAGGACTGCACCAATGCCATAGCCTGACGCATCCGTAGTGACACGTGTAGGCGCGAGTGGGTCGTATATCCGCAAGACCTCCGCAGACAATAGCGCGGCTTTGAGAGCGAAGAATGATCCTCGCGCCTCCTCTCCGAAGTCAAACAGCCGATCCTCGCACTGAAGCTTGTTCAAGTGGGCCACGATCTTGGAGTAGCCTTTGATGAAGCGCTGATAGTAGCCTGTAAGACCGAGGAACGAGCGGACATCCGTGACGTTCCGAGGCTCCGGCCACTCTTGGACGGCCTAAATCTTGTCCGATAGCGGACTGATGCCCTCCGGTGTGACAAAATGGCCCAAGTATTCCAGCTCCTGCCGGACAAATTCACACTTGTCGCAGTTGGCCTTGTACTTGGCGCGGCGGAGTGTCTCCAACACTTGTCGAAGATGCCCCAGATGATCCTCCAATGACCGGCTATAGACGAGAATATCGTCTAAGTAGACCAGCACGAACCGGTCCAACATTGCACGAAACTCATTGGTCATCGCCGCCTGAAAGGTCGTCGGGGCGTTGGTGAGGCCAAAAGGCATGACCACCCACTCAAAATGCCCGTACCGCGTCTTGAACGCGGTCTTGTAGCGATCGCTCAGCTGGATCGAGATTTGATGATATCCCGATTTCAAATCTAACTTGGAAAAATACTTTGCGCCGCCCAGCCGCTCAAGAAGATCGTCGATGCGAGGAAGAGGCCCCGCATTCTTGACGGTTTGCGCGTTGAGCTTGCGGTAGTCGATACACAATCGTAGATCCTTGTTCTTCTTCCTGACGAAGAGAACTGGTGCTCCATATGGGGAGCTACTCGGGCGGATCCAGCCCTTGGCCAACAAATCATCGAGTTGTGCGCGG